GAAGAGAAGTCCAAAAGGGTTCAACTTTTTAAAATCCAGGTCTTGGGAAAAACTTCCTGAACAACTGCAAGCTGCACAGTTTATCCTAATAGCCAAAGACAACTGGAAATAAAACCTTGGATTTTCTACCAGGATATGTCTGCACTTGATGAAACTGTTCTGTTGTTATTTGCTCAGAAGATACCTTTTTTTATAGACTCGGAACTTCAGAGCCCTCCCTTAATTGGAGAGGATAACGAGCTTTGTTGAAGTTCACAAGTACCAAACTACGGTAACTGGTGGGTCTTGGCTGTTCTTTCCTCCACAGTTAATCTGTTGAGAGCAGACCTTTACCTGAGAAACTCCTGACTACTACAGGAAAAAGGACAGGTCTTTGGAGGCTGAGAGAAGAGTAGCAGTTTTGAAACCTTTTCCACTGTGATATGGCTCGTATCTGCTGTGCCACTGTTCAGCACTCTCAGACTGCAACATGAAATGTGTTTGACTTCTGCTGGCTTAGTGTAGTCTACTTGGTTCTTGGCAGCATCTGCTAAACTGCCATCTGTTTTGCAGCTGTTGATTCTACTCCTTGGCCACGCAGTAGTGTGGCAATGACTGTTGGTTCATGTTTTGACAAACCCCTCTTCAATTATGACAGTGGGCATTACATTTGGAAAATGATAGCTTGCTTTCTTCAAAACTTTTTTCTAGCATCACCTCCCCACTACCTCAATCTTGCAGTGTTTAAGAAAGCCAAGCAATTTGACGGAATACTGTGCTGCTGTTGCTGTTATATTTTTTGGTTTTGTTTGCACTTTCAATGTTCATTTTAACATGTAAATAGAGCTATACCTCTCATATATGTTCTCTAGAGGTTGTTGAAGGGATTTCCCCCTAGATGGTGTTTTCAACAAAAATGTCTTTTAATAAAGAAGTATTTCTTCCTGTTTCAGTGGTGAGTTGGAATATTTTTTCCACTTGGAAATGTGATTTTTTTTTTTTTAACCTTTTAAAATTGTCTTCTAATTTCTTACTAAGTCACTGGTAGTTATTTTTACATAGAAACCGGTGCTTTGATTGTTCAATATAAGATAGTGGTTCTCCATTTTGTAACCAAAAACCACAAGGGAGAATGAGACTAGTAGTGTTCAGTTCTCAGAAACACTTTTTGCTTTTGAGTTAATTTGCTCCATGCGTGCCTGAGCATTGGCAGTTCTTTCCTTAAAGAAATCAAAGAATCAATTAAGGAAGATGTATTTTCTACTAATTAACTCTTATCTCATGGTCTGAGCTATTAAGCAGAATTGAGTTTTTAGTACAGTTCATGAAGCAAAGTCTGGTACAATGTGGCATGCTTGTGAAAACATAATTTAGTCCTACCTTTGCTGCTGTCTTTCATTGCATCACTTTAGGAGAATCTGAGGAAGAGATCTAAGGGAAACGGGGGAAATTGGTGACATTTTTCACAGTCGTCAAGTAAAAAGCCTTTCTGATCTATTGTTATTTTTCCTATGTTCTCTGTGTATATAAAGCTGTGCAGATAATGGTGGCTCTGAACGGACTACGCATCCTTAGATGCCACTGTCTGAGGAGATAATCTTTGCCAAAACAATTGTGCAACCATTTAAATTGCTTGGAGACAGTATTTTCCTGAAAATTATTAGCATGATGAAACGGAAATATTTTGCAAATATGGACTGACTTTTGCTAAAGTTCTGATGGAATATAAGAGACCTACTGCTTGTGGCATGTATTTAATTTGATTGCTTTTCTAGTAACACCTACTTGGCAGGTGGCTGTGATGCTGAGGCTTCTGAGATGTTAATCCTGCTTTTCTGACAGCACCCCAGGTAGTGTGCTCACTGGGATAACCTAGAACAAGGGCTTCATTCCCTTGTGAAGAACTTAGAAATCACAATTATTTATATTTTTCTTACTCCTAATAAGTATGAAAATATTGAAATTCTCCATAATGACAGCTCCTATTCACTTTGTCCTTTTTGTCATGCAAGAGGATCAGGCCAGGATCATTACTCTTTATTTTTACAAGAGTTCACAGACTCTTGTTGAATTGTTGATCTAGGCAGTAGTTCGCCAAGTTCTGAAAACTGTAAGCAAATGTTATCTTTGCTTCTCCACTTTTTTTAGCATATGTTTTGTCATTGATATGTTAGTCTGTCATCTTCCTCCTGTATCTGCTTGCTACCATGTGCATTCAAATTTTGATATATTAAAAATCCTTGTGTGATACTAGTATACAGCTTATAAAACAGGAAAATTCCTTTGGAGTCACTTTTTGAAGTTGTTTCTTGTGTGAGCAGTTGTTCCTTATGTCAGTGGCGTTACTTTGTGGCAGGACAATGTCTAGATTCCCCCAACAGGCAGAACATATTAGAAGAAGACCATCAAGACTGAAGACATACTTTCTCTAAAAAACACCTTTAAACATGTTTGCTATTTTATATTTTTGTGAAAGCTGTTTTTAAAGTCAGAACAAGTATCATCTGGGAAAAGACCAGTTTTCTTGATGCAGAGGTGATGCATTTAAAACACAGATTAATTTAGCATCTGTTGTCTAAGAAATGGTTAAGTTCTCAGATTTACCAGAGTGCTTAGTATTTTTAAAGATATTGCTGAGCACTTTGGTAAAATCAGTCAGAAGAGTGTTTTCTCTTAATATGTGGTGGCAAGATGTGAATTTTTGCTGAGAATTTTTTGTGAAATACTGGCTGATGTAGTGTGTTCTTATGATCAAAGAGTTCAGAATCTCATGTTGGTCCATTAAGGACAGTGGCATTTGTGGACATGCTGATGTTTTAAAAATACAATACTTTATTGCATGTCAAAGTAGCATATGCATTTGGTTCCTTCAACTTAGCATACTTTTGTGTCTAAAAAACCCTACCAAAATAAAGCTGCACCCATGAAGCAAATCAGACCAGATATGCAAGGAATACTGCATGTTGTATGCAAAATATGAATACTGTTACCTTTTTTCAGATTTTAAAGTTTTCATAGCTTAACAGGCCACGATAGGCTCATGTTATGGGAAAGTTTAGTTGAGCTCCATTTGTCTGTGTATTCAAACTGATCTCTGAAGACTTCAATTAAATACTAGGTATACATATTAAGTGTCAGCCAAACAAACTAACCAATACAATTACAAGTGGGAAACTGACTGACTTTTTATATAAACCCAATCTTGGTTTGAGAAATAAAAAAAAATATTTTGGTGGTCTTGTAAAGAGACACATAATGCCCTTTAGAACTTCCTGATGTTCTCCCATTACTACGGAGTAATATAAGACCTCTGTGTTTCGGGTGAGAATTTTCTATTCTTACTACCTTTACATTAGCCTGCTTTATCAAATTTTTCCATTTGAAATGCAAACTGCAGTGTCACTGAGCTTATTCAAAATATTGCAGCCTTATTGCACTGGGCTCTGCTAGGGAGACAGGAGAAGTGATTCGAGTCCTTAGCTAAACCTGGTTTGTCCCGTCAGTTCATCAGCAGCTATCTCATGTAGCAAATGATGTTGTGCAATTGAGCTGGAGTTCATGGAGAAACTGCATGATTACCTACAGTCAGGTAAATCTTCATGCAGTTTTTGCCCACACTAAAGAGCCCAGCTGGCAATGATGTATGCAAGGCAGTTCTGAGCATGGAATAGTATGTTTAAAATGGATAATAATTTAGAATACCCAGCGATGCTCCACAGTCTGAAACCTGCATGAGCCAGTGGTGGTTCTGTGCTTCATTTGAAGCTGGTGCTCTCACATCTGTGCATGTAGAAAAAGTGCTCAGTAGGTCAATGATGACTGAACTTACCCAAACAGTTCCTCCTCTCCCCATCCAGCACTTGAATACAGGTCTGGAAAACTTGCTTAGACTGTACTGGGACTTTGGATCAGATCTTAATTGGCTGGCTAGACAGCATTTGAACTAGAATCTCTGGAGGTGCATGCAAAATACACAGCTGTTCAAACAAGGCAAAACCACCTATCTCTAAAGCCAGTATTACAAGGGGAGAAACACTAATCCTTACCCTAAGTCTGACGTCTTTGTGGAGAGAGGTTGAATTCACTGTTCACTGAGATGAGTTCCTTTTTGTTGAGATATTAATGATAGACTCAGTTGACATTGCACATTGTGCTGAGGAAATTGTGTTGATTTGTTTTAATTCTCTCCTGTCCAGGATGATTTCTGTCTCATAGTCATTGAATATTAAACTTGAAGAGTTCTTCCATTCTGAATTTTGCCTCCTTTGACCATCTGTTGTATTTTTTCCCCTCTGTTGAGTTTTAAAATTAATTTTTTCTTCTCTATCAGGCCCTTTCTGTGTTGGGAGGGTCACAACAGGGAATGCAACATTTTTACACTGGTGCAGGAAGCTACTGTTGTGTTTAAGTGCTTTTCAAATGGTGTTTCGTGCAACCATAGAAATGTTGTGCAAAGAAAGCAAGGGTGGGTATGCTCTTGTTCTTCCTGCTTTGAGACACTCTAGAGTTAACTTCCACATGAATTGAGATGGGTGGCTGCAGTTTTACAATAGACTTAATTGTTCTGGCTAAAGGGAGTATTACTACATGATGGGAACACATCCTGTCTCTCTTTGTAATTAGTTTTTCATTTCTCTTCATGTTATGCCATCAACAGTTTTTTTAAACTGATGCTGTATTCACAGAAATAAAAAACATGGTAAGTGCAAAAATAACACTGGTAACTATATTTCAAGTCCTATGTCAGTTTCAATACTCCAGTCTCTATCTAGAACTGGGAAGCAATCTCAGTACCAACTGACATTTTTTATTTTTTTTTAATAACTTTGTATTTAAAAAATCTTTTAAAAGTTCTTTGCAAAGAAGTCTCAGTTTGGGCAAATGAGATAGAAGTCATTCTGTCTGCACCTGATCACTGATTTTAATTCTTAAATAATGTTGTATTATGTATTGTTCAAGGCTGGGTTTTTTTGTGAGCTTGTTTTTTTTTTTTTAATATTAAATGTTTTGGGTTTTTTTTAATTGCAGGTCAATTATGTTCCACCACTGCTTGTGTACCTGCTTTCTCTGACTTCCTGTGGATACCAGCAGCAAGTGAGTGTCTTCTGATGTGCTTATTTAAAGGGCTTCATCACTCTCATGTTTCATACAGAGGTTTCTCAAGTGATTAAAGGTAACTTCCAGTCTGGGATTTATGTCTAGTGAGAGAATGCTGATTTTGAACCCCCGAAGTTGTATGTTTGAAGTGATATGGCTTAAGAACCTAGCACTGGATGTTTACCTAGAAACTTCCAAAAACCCCCAACAAAACAAAACCCCAAACACTGAAGGCAGGAGAGGATAGTTTTCAATGAGAGAGTTCAGATTATGCAAAACTAGTAGAGCCCATAGCTCAGATTATCTGTAAAAGGAAGACATACTGTTCTGAATGTGGCTTTGAATACTACATGCTTCCATATGTCTGTTGCATCAGCACCTTGACATAAAAGACAACTTTGAAAATTATTGACGGTGAAGAGGTGACACAGTTACCCAAAGAGTATCTGGAGTTTTTTCACACTGTCACATGGAACTTTTGAAATTAGTGCAACAAGAATTGAGGTAACATATTCTGTTACAGTCTATAATTTACATTTTGTATTGCACTTTGTAGATATTTCACATTCTTAAGTATGATTAGGCAAGGTTTCTGGATTTTTTAAATATAGAAACAAGGATAGAATGATGCAGGTTTTTTTTAATGGTAACTGTGTTTGTAAATACACAAAGCTTATGAAGGAGAGCTAAGCACAAGCATATCTGCTTACCTCACTTTTGAAATTGGCCAGGTTTTCACTTAGTTCTATGAAAAATATTTCCATTCAGTATTGAATACACATAATAACATGTGACCAAGATTAAAGGATCTGTCAGTTCAAATGAAGGCTTATATTCAACAGAGGGTTAATATTACAGTGTTTTAGAAAAGTTACTGTGGTAATTAAAGAAGGCTTCCTCTGGAGATTAAAGCTGTGAATGTTTTGTATAAGCAGATGGTAGAGCACAAGCAGTACTTACATATTATAGACAAAGGTAGTGAGCAGTTTTAAAAATACAGTGTTTTGAGTGATGTGGTGGTTATTTCCTTCCAAGAAACATGGATGTCTTGATGGGTTAATAGAAGTGCATTTTTTCCTTAGTTGAACGCTTACTTGATATTTGTGTACTGCATTTGCAGCTGAAAGCCCAAATTTCTCATTTAAAGGTGACTGGCTTTATGAGTGATGCACAGGAAATATATATGCCTCCCTAGGAAGGTAATGAGTGACACTTGCACATAGAAATGTGGATATTTATGTCTGTCATACACAGGCTCTTTGTATTGCTTAGTTTGTGAAATAAAGTGATGCAATTATCTCTTGGTGATTGTATCTTTTTTCTTTTTTTCTTTCCTTCAGAATTACCATTGTGGTAACATAGTTTCATCCTCCTGTATGTGTAATTTAGTATTTTTATCTATCACATAGCTCATGAAATTACTGTTTTCCTCCTTTAAGGTGTTTAGCCTTTTTTTCTGCTGACTTACCTGGTGAGATCCTTAGCTTACATAAATATATAGTCATACACTCACTCTTTCTTCAATAATTGTAGTTAGGAACAAAAAAGTTGGAAAAAAATGTGTTCCAAACAGTTTTTTAGTGATAAAGCAACAAGGCTGTGGAGTGAATCAAAGAGAAACTCAACTTTAGTAAACCTTCTAAGCCACTGTCTTGTCCTCAGCTGTTAATATTTATCATGTGTGAGAATGGTACTATCATGAAGTAGGAGTATTACAAGCAAAACCAAATCCAATTAGTCAAGAAATACTTCTGTTTCTTTTAGGCAAATGCTCTGAACACAACCAAACCAAACAATGGCCTGTCTTACTATGACAAATATGGAAGATACAGGAACTTCTACTGTCCGCCAGAATGGTGACATTCATGGGAATACCAGTGCACCTAAGCAGACAGAACCATTTCTTCAAGTGTACCTTTATCATTCTCCTGGGAAGACAGGAGGAGATTACCTTCAATTTTCAGCTGGAGAATATGTTGCAGAAGAGATTTGCGCTGTTGCCTGTAAAGCTTGTGGTAAGTATATACACAGCTATTTTCCTAACAAGATAGTAAGATTCAGCTACCTGAAAGGAAATTGTAGTGAGGTGGGTTTAGGTCTTTTCTCCCTAGTAACAAGTGGTAGGATGAGAGGAAATCACTTCAAGTTGTGCCAGGAGAGGTTTGGATTCACTGTTAGAAGAAACTTCTCTGAAAGTTGTCAGGCATTGGAACAGGCTGCCCAGGAAAGTGGTTGAATCACCATTCCTGGCTGGAGGTGTTTAAAAGATGTGTAGATGTGATGCTGAGGGACATGGTGTGGCACCAGATGTGTTTTAGCACCAGACTCAGTAGAGTTAGGTTATGGCTTGACTTGTTCTTAACTGTCTTTTCCAGAGAAAACAATTGTATGTGGTTTCAGGTGTAATGAATTTCAAAGAAAGGCTTGTGCCTCCAAATCTTTATTTTCCAGTGGGTCACAAATACGAAACTGCTGACTGAGTGTACATTGTATTATCTGAAACATCTTATACTTTTGTGATTTTGTCTTTTGAATGCTATGCTGTTTGCAAATACGGTTTTAATGGCTTTACCTTTTGGAGAAATCTGTACATTTTTTCTGTGCTCTTGTATGGCTCGTACTGACTGAGTTGCATGCTGTGAGTTGGTAATTTGCTTGTATATGTTAGTTTCACAAAAATTCTTGTGGGTTTAAGTTCCAGTGTTCCTTGGAGTTCTTTAGATGTGGCAGAGGCTGACTAGGGCTGAGTTTGTACCGTTGTATTTCATGTCATGTGAGAGCTTCGGGCAGATAAGGATGTACAATTAGTTCAGCAAAATCACTGACTGGGATTGATTCTAGGAGACCACGAGGAAGTAGTACGGTGTTCAGAGGTTTGCAGAATTTCAGCTGTGTGAGACTTTGCTACTCTATGACCTTTTAGGTCTGAGTTTGATAGAAGGACCTGAAAGTGTTCTCTAAGTTAAGGTATCCTTTTGTCTTGAATTGAGTTTGAGGCATGCATGTAGAAGCTAAGCTTTTTCTTACTTAATTTAAACACAGCTTTACATCTTTTGAAAAATATAATAAATATGAAACTTACTGTAGGCTTGTATTTTTATATGGAAAACTGTCTGAACATGAAATATCACATTTTCTAACCAGAAATGTAAGAATCAATGAAGTGTCTTGAAGTAAAGTTTGTGTTTGCTATACAGTGTCATGTTTCAGCTCTTGTGTGTTAACTAGAAATTGCCATGTAAAAAATGATAAATGTCACACTAAAACCAAGAGAAGTCCTTGCTCTCAGCCTAAGAGAGAATGTGGAATTACAGGAATTTACTGTTGTTGGAATTGAAATGTAACAGAGAAATTGTTCCAGAGATTATAGAACCTTTGTGTTGTATCTCCTAAATTCAGCATCAGAGACTTGTTTTCCCAATTTGTTATTTTAAACCCTTTCATTTTCTCTGCTCTCTCAATCTTAAATGAAATTTCTCTATTATGCAGTTTTTAATGCTTTTAAAAGCAGTTTATAAACTATCAAGCAGTCAAGGCCATTCAAACATGAGTAGTAATAATGGTTAAGGAAAGCCATCAGAGTTAATCTGAGAGAGTAGTAATGAAAGCTTAATGTGATATTTTACAAAATAAATGTATGTGATTGTTTACAGAATAACTGTAAACTTGATTTATAAATTTGTTTTTACTCAAGTGTAAAATCTGAAAAACATTTAGAAATCTGTGTTTTAAAATTAGCAAATGTAATCGAAAACAATATTAACTGAATTTTGTTGTGTAGGTAAATCAGATACAGACTACTGGGAACATTTAAAGTATTTGAATTTGAATCTTGAATGTATTTATTTGTATACAGAATAAAAGATATTTTACATACTACATTAGTGTATCTACTCTATACCAGTACTTTTGCAGTAAGCTACTCTCTAATCTCTTGTAAGTGGATTTATTAGTGTTGTTTTTTTTTATCCTCAGGTGAAGTAATTAAATTTAAAAACAAAAACAAAGAACAAAACTGGACTGTACACTGTACCATACCAGAACAATACATTATACACAAGATGAATATTACATGGGAAAATAATTGTATTTTAATTTTTATACTAAAAAGTTGTGGATTTATTCCTCCAGTTGAATAGTATTAGTAAAATAGGTATGCATCACATGTATCTGAATTGTTAGCCATAGCAAGGTAGAGAATCAGAATCCCTCTACCTGCTGGCCACACTTCTTTTGATGCAGCCCAGGATACAGACATGGAGCCATTGATCACCACTCTTTGGGTGTGACCGGTCAGTTAAACACTTTCAAGGGAGAAAGAGACTGTGTTGTGTGATGTGATGGTTGTGATGATGTGAAGTACCTCTTTGCTTGTGTGCTTCAGAGGAGATTCCATTAGAAGCTAGAGAATTTTAAGTGGTTTTATCCTTAACATGTGGAATTTCCACAAGTAATGTGGCTCATTGTTATAATTGATTTTAAATGCCCACCATGGGTTTGGGTTTTTGGGGGTTTTGTTTTGTTTTTTTTCTTTAGTGGTAGCCATTCCAGAAAATCATCATAGAGCACTCTCTCAAGGTGAGGAATGAGTTAGTCAGAACTCTGGGCAGTTCTGTTTTGCCAAGAAAGGAAACATGTGCTTTGATTAACTATTCAGAAAACATTTGTTGACTGGATAGCAACATTGAATGTGGTATCAGGGTTTGGTAAGTCTCCATGGTGTATGAAAGAGGAAGTTAAGATGGTATTTTAATGTAAGAAAAGCCAAACAATTTTCCTTCTGGTGTGTGCAAGACTTCATACATTTATATAATTTACTTTGCAGTTTTGTATGAGAACTGACTAATGTTTGTATTGGTCTTTGAAAACTGGAAATTTAAAAATTATTTTAAATCATAAGCTCCATGCAACTAATTGCTTTTATCTGTATATGTCTAGTGACTTATTTATATGCTTGAATTGATAGTTTCATAAAACACTGTTTCTGCTGTAGGCTATGCATGGCTTCCATATTTCATAGTGGCATCATGGCTTTTTGTGATTTACAGTTTCTGGGTTTGTGTTTATTTTCTTCACAGAGGGACGTTACCTAATGAAAATATACTGTATGGGTGAAAGGGTGCCTAATGCCAACAAAGGAGGAAGTACAGAAATACTGTATTTCCCTTAGCTGCTTCAGGGTAAATGAAGCTATGTGATTTTTCTGGATAGGGAGCTCTAAAATCATAATGAGGAGAGGAAATGCAAATAATTCCTTTCTTCTAGGTTTAAGGAATATGTTTTTGGTGTGTTTCAGCCTTCATGATGTCACTTGACAATCTCTGTCGCAAGATGAGGTTCCTTACATACTAAATAAAATACTTGCCAAGAGGTAGTAATGTTTTTGTCTTTGCAATAGTCCAGAAAAAATATTTTATAGCCCTTGGTGTAGAAGCAAAGTGGAGAACAATTCTGCTTTCTTATGTCTGAGTCACTATCTCCTCTTCTAATTAATCATGAATTGATTTAATAGCATGGTTAGTGCTGTGCAGAAGTCTAAGGGAGGTTTTTTAGTACCTGTTATGAACAACTGTCCTGACTTGTGTAGAAAATAAATTTCTCAGAGGTTTTCTCTTCTGTTGATATGTATAAACTTCCTCAGAAGACTGATTTCACCATCTCCCTCCACCTCCACCCATCTTTCTGGTTTTTATTGTTTCTGGAGAAAACACTTAACTATTGCAGTTATCATTCACTGGAAAAGTCCCTGCAATTAATAGTGCTGGAAATAGTTACACAAAAAGAGACAATTCTGGCCTGTCTGCTTTCTTTAGACTTTTATGGACTCTGATAAGGGAGTTTGCTCTAATTGTATAGTTGTTTAACTTCTTCAATGTAGCAATTTTATGGCACAGACACGTAGTTCTTAAGGAGGAGCAACAAAAAGACAAAAATAAAAGGAAAAAATTTATACCTTATGAAAACTGTGTAATCTATATGTCAGTGACCACTGGCAGTGAAAGGTACAATGCTGAAGTATGAGGGATGGATGAATGCACAGTTTACTTTTCATGCATAAGACTGCAAAGAGGATTTTTTTTGGCTTGTTTGTTTGTTAATGCCAACATTACAGATTGGTAGGGGGAATTCCAAAGTCATGCTTCTTGCTTAGTTAAGTTTCAGAACAGCAATGATATGATCCATATTGAAATTTTTGTGGGTTTTGTTTTGGTGTAATTTTTTTGAGAGGGGCAGTGATGGTGGTGTTTGTAATGGATTTGATGAAATACTGCAACTTAACTTTTGAATTTTAGAATATGCCTCAGAAAAATTTTATTGTTCAGCATAGGATTGTCAGTTGTTAGAGGAAGCTTATAAGTGAGACTGGGTTTTGCCTTGAATAGAATCCTGAAATAGGTTGATTCACAGCCATTATACTGTAATTGATCTGAAGTTATTTGGGGTACAGATACCTCACAGCCTCAAAACTGTTAACTCAGTTGTTGCTGCTTTACAGATAACTGATGGGTAATGTAATCTAGTTGATTCCACTTTACACATCAAATGAAAACCATGGGATGCACGGGATGGATTTCTTTTGAACTCCATAAAATTGAGTTAATTTGATACTTCTCAAAACTCTGATGCATCAAATATGTCTTACTGCATCCTAAATTTGCAATATCCAGTTTTGCAGCCAATCCTTCAGTTACTAGCCCTTTTAGGGAATTCCTTCTTGTTTTTTGGTTCATTTTGGATTCTCTTTTGTTACTTTACATAGTGCTTTTGATTTCTGTAATTTTTTGTAAGTCTGTGACTGCTTTTCATAGAAGTCATGTGTTATGACCTGTGGTTCTGGTATGTTTTGGTGAACTTTAGTGTCAGATGCCTCTACAGTTAGCCTCTAGATTTCAACAGCTTACTTTGACATCTGCACAATAGACCTCTTGTTCTTAGGCTTACTGGCTCCCTGCAGAGATAAACGCCATTTTTTAATGAGTTGAAGCTAGTTATTATTTAAAACGTAATTACTTTTTGTTGAACAAGCTCATGCGGTGTTATATGTGGAGTTGATTAGTTATTTCTAACTGATTGTCTTACGTGTGCTTTATACATGATGAAAGAAGCATGGTTACCCAAATGCTCAGAACAAAAATAAAGAAATAAGGGATTTATATTTTTTTTCGCTCCTGGTTTCTTCTTTCATTCAAAATCTTTGGGAAGAGTTGTGAATGCTTTGCCATTTCCCAGAACTCTCTTGTCTCTTCACGTAATTTTAAGTTAATTTAGTCACATTTATCTGTGATTTTTTGGATAATTTTTGCCTTCTGCCCCTAAAGTGTCTTGCTTTAATGTAAACATAGTTTGCTTTCATTGTGACCTATTGTGACTTTTACACTGTAATTTTCATCCCACTCTCTGACCTCTATAGACTTGTATCTCTCTGTGTCTTCAAAATTTGTTTGTCAGTGGTTGGAGTTAATTTTTTTGTGCTGTCAGTTCTAAGGCATTTAACCCTAATTGTAGCACTGACATCACATGCAGCCATAACACTGCAGTGTGGTATCTGTCTCATATTAGGCTGTGCTTTCAGCTGGGATGTTCCAGAAGAGTTTATGTTCTACTGATCTACATTGTTGGTGATTAAGTAGGATCTCTTGTCAGTTCTCATTGGAACAATCCTGAAATACTGATGGAGAAAGGTGTTTCCAATTTATTTTTAATTAACAGTATGTGTTTGGTTTGGCCTTCAGCTGAGCTGCTAAAATGAAAATGGCAGGTGGTCGTGCTAGGCCTGATTACTTTCTTTGTATTGCTTTACTTCTAATTTTTAATCCATCTAAAATCTTAAAATCAATGCCTACATCTGTTTTTGGAAAAGGTAAGGAAAAAGGTTGTTACTGTTACTAGCTGTTACTAAACTGAGATGCTAAGGAGTCACTGTGTTAAATATCATACAGAGAAAATCTTGTAATTTAACAGTGAAGTATAGGTTAACAGGTGAGCACAGCCTGTAGTCAGAGAACATAAATGTAGCAATGAGAAAATAAACCAGCAGAAACAATCTGCAGATTATGGGGTGATGATCGCAATGCTGTTCACAGTGATAGAGTAGTTGGAGAACATGTGCCAGTCTGCTGCTTCTAAACCACAGTTTGTTATTTCTTTAAGATTATTTGTTAAAACAGTTCCCTATAGATGTTTCTTTCTCTGTTCTTTGTTTAGGTATCATGCCGGTGTATCATAACATGTTTGCACTCATGAGTGAAGTAGAGAGAATGTGGTATCCCCCAAATCACATCTTCCATGTAGATGAAGCAACCAGACTCAACCTGATTTTCCGGATAAGGTAATCTGAGTCAAATGTTACATACTTTTCATGGTAAAACAAAATAATTTGAGAAAACAGAGCCAATGAGTTATTTAGTTGAACCATAGTTTCTCTAAGAAGTTACAGAGAGCTTGTTGGTGATACCTGGATAAGAGATAGATAAAAGAATCAAAATTATTGGGTTGGGTTTGAATAACATATTTTATTGATAGTCTGTATACCAAAAGTTTGCCATGTCAAATTGAAGAAACAAACAATAAAAAATACAGCAGAAGTAAAAATAATATTTTTTCTTTATAGTGATGCATCTCATCTGCTCTGTGCAGTAGCAGTTCTGAAATGTGAAGTAATTAACCTGTGTATTCAGCTGGTGTCTGTTTTCCTTATATAAAAGATTTTGTTTGTTTACATTGCATAATATGGCTTAAGTGTTTCTTTAGGAACTGTCTCAAAGATGACTGGAAGACAGAAACACCAAATTCTCTGTATTCTGGTTGGTGAGGATAACTTTACAGAGCTACTTATTCCTACCAGTACAGCTTATTGCTCTGCTTGAATGTTGCAGTACATTAAGGCAGTAAGAGCTGCATCCAAAGCATTCATTGGACTGACTGGGGCCTCATACTGGTCTTCCCGACTAGTTACATGCCTAGGAAAGCAATAATGGCTGGTGTCAGTAAGCTAAAATATCTGTTTATTCTTGTTTTCTTAAACATTTCCTGACAGGTTTTATTTTCCCCACTGGTATTGCAATGGCAGCAGCAGAGCATATCGGTATGGCATTCTTCGAGGTGCAGAAAGCCCTGTTCTTGATGATGTTGTCATGTCCTACCTATTTGCACAGGTGTGATTTGTTTGATTATTTCATAATGCAGATTGGTAGAGGTTTTTAGTATTTATTCCTTTTCACACCTTCTGGTAGTAACTGTGTACTCTTTAGTGACAGCTTGAGCTCCTCTCAAAATGAAAATTAAATTTCAGATCATATTGTGTACTTGGAGAGATTAAGCTCAAGTGACAATTGTGGGGAGAGCAGTGAGAGTGTAGCTCCTTTCTCATGCCACTACCTTGTGGAAGTCTTCTGTTTTGGGTGGACATGATGTCTAGCAGCATCCTCCCCATATGGACCTTTTTGAGATTTTAAACAAAAATATTTGAAAATAGTGTTTCTAAACATGATGGTAGCTGGTAGCTCTAATGAACATGGGCAGGTTTTTGTGAACAAAGGGGTTCATTCAGAAGAATGCAATCTTTAAAAAAGAAAAAAAAACCCAAACAAAAAACCCCTCCACTGCAAAAAACTTTAATTGATGAGCAGCAGTGCTACAGTTTTATTTTGCTTTCTTGTATTCTTCTTTATCAGTGGCGAGATGATTTTTTGGATGGATGGATTCAGATGCCTGTTACTCACGAAACACAAGAAGAGTGCCTAGGAATGGCAGTTTTGGATATGATGAGAGTGGCCAAAGAAAAGGACCAAACCCCACTGGCTATTTACAATTCAGTCAGGTGACTCCATACTCAATAACTGTATAACACCTATCTTATATCTAATCCAAATATTTGCTACACATTAGCATCTGGGAGGAGATGCTTATTTGTTGGTGTTTGATTTATTTTAACACAGTGACTCCATAAATTTGCTTGTTGTGTTAACTAGAAATTAATAGAAAGCTTGTATCATGATGGCCGTTAATGTTTTTGGGTGCAGGATTTTGTTCTCTTTATGAGAGGTAAGGCAGCAGCTTCTCAAGTGGGAAAGAATCTAAGCAAATATTTGAGTTGGGAGAGACCTCTGGAAGTTATCAGATCCAACCCCCTGTTCAGATTGGAGCCGACTCCAAAGTTAGGTGAAGTTACTGGCCTTGCAGCCAAGTTCTGAAAATGTCCAGGGATGGAGATTCCACTCTGTCTGTGGGCAGCTCTGTTCTGTGTGTGATCACCCTCATTGAGGAAGATATTCTGTGTATCTCGTCAGTTTTCTCTGTGATACTGATTCTCCCTTGCCTCTTGTCCTTTCTCTGTGCATGTCTCCATAGCCATCTCTTAGTTTTAGACAAGTTGCAGAACACCTTACTCGACCATTTTTTCCAGGCTGAACAAATCAAGCTTCCTTATGACTTTTCTGTTCTGTCATGTGCTCCAGGCTCTTAAACATCGTGGGCAGATCTCTGCTGAACTTTCTTGAGTTTATGAGTTTGCTTTGGTTTATCCACCTAATCTGTTTCCACTCCACCTGAGTTAATTCTGTCCCCATGCAGTACTTAATGGTTAATGTTTGTCTTTTAATGAAACCTAGCAGGTGGAGTAAAAAACAGAATGGCCAGCTCATTGCAGGTGACAGGCTAGTCTTTTTTCCCCTTGTTATAGAATATGGATTGTGATATAGGAAATTCCCCGAGAACCAATCACAGTATTGTATTCTACTACCTATATTTATCCAGGAAATCTGCCTTCTTACCTGTGTTGTTGCTTCTGTCCTGCAGTATCCACTTTCCAATACCAAACTAAGCACCTGTGTAGCTTTTGCTGCCTTATCTCAGAGCTTCAGTAGTTACTAGAACAGACATAGCTGGATTAGTGGAAAATGCATAGTGTAATATACATTGAAGCTGAATAAGGGATGAAAATGGAAGACAGGGCTGTATTTTAAATCACATATTACAGATTGAAGAAAGGATTCTTGTTATCCTATGGTTTAAAGAATAAGGTTACATTTAGGGGAAAAAGTATTTTCATGTTGACTTGTTTAGCACAGAACTAGTTATCTTTGCTGGATTTAATGGGTAAAATTAATAGGTTTTTTTTCTTGTTATGCATTCACAGTTACAAAATGTTTTTGCCTAAATGTGTGCGAGCAAAAATCCAAGACTACCACATTTTGACACGAAAAAGAATAAGGTATAGGTTCCGCAAATTTATACAACAGTTTGGCCAATGCAAAGCTACTGCCAGGAACTTGAAGCTTAAGTATCTTATAAATCTGGAAACCCTTCAGTCTGCCTTCTACTCAGAGGTTTTTGAAGTAAAGGAACCTGGTGGAGATCCTTCTGGAGAAGAACGTTTTGCAACCATTGTAATAACTGGAAATGGTGGAATTCAGTGCTCAAGAGGAAAACTTAAAGACTATGAGACACTGGCAGAGCAGGTAATTTTTCATATTATTTTAGTAATTATGCAGTTTGTTGTGTAACAGACTGATTAGATTATGTTAGAAGCTCATATTTACCCCAGGTAAATTTGATAGGTAAATTTCACTTCACAGTGATGATACAGTTTCCAAATATCTGAGGTCCATAGAAATGTATAGACGTAAACTGTGCAGGATATTAAAATTAGGGGGTTTTATTTAAGTGTTAGAAGAATGTCAATACTTGAACATGTAATACATCTGTATTTGACAAATGGAAAATTTGGTTTTGTACCTCTATTACTGTCAATAAATAAATGTGAAAAACTAATGACCCTGCCCCCAGATATGGGTAAAATGCAGAAATTCCTCAAATTCTCTTTGAAGACAGGGTTTTAAGGATTCAGAAAAAGCCAGGTAAGTTTCTGTGTACTTCTTCCCTGTTGCAGTTAGACTTATATCACTGTCTGAGCTAGCTAATTTAAAGTGACATTTTTGAGGCTGTGGAGTCCATTTACTTGTTGTTCAGGAGTTAGGTGCCAATATGTCCTAGTAATGGTGTGCTATTGCCTTTTCTTTTGTGTGAGATTTCTCAGCATGATGTGATACAAACTCATAGCAGTATATATTGAAAGTGTGGGAGTTTTCCAGAGGTAAAATTAAAGGCATAGTGGAGCATGCCAGTTAGCCAAAATAATTGGATTTTTTATGTTTATAGTTTTGATACATAACATAAACCAGTCAAGACCAAATTAAAAAATGTTGTATTCTTACAGTGTGCTATCATAGCTTGTAAAATTGCTTTAAAAAAAAAATCTGATTACATACCCAGATTTTCCAAGTATGTTCTTAGAATATTTGTAGATTGATGTTAGGTCCGAATACCTTATTCTTAGTTGTTACAATCCAACACTTTGCCTTTCTTAAGTTGCCTGTTAAGTGCCAGTTGGTCTGGCAGAAGCTAACGTAAGTGCTAGATTTTGCAATTTCTATTTTTAGGTGTATAAAATTTATGAATACAATGCTTTTTGGGCCTGGCAACCAAGCCTTTAATAAGAGTAGTGTTTAAACTGATCGTATTTCCTATAGAAATTGCAAATATTTTTTTTAATAATTAATAATATTATCATTTGTCCAGTTATTGATGGAGACATGGTGTGGGCTGCATATATTTTCACTGACACAGAAACGGTCTATAAAATTGGTTATGAAAACTTAATCATTTAACTAAGCTGCTGGTAAATATGATCATACCTCTCAGCTCAGGAAACTATACTGATGAATCTTTATTAAGATACTAAATTGAAACAAAATTTTTATATTTTTGAAGACAAGAATGACATGTGTGGAGTAGATTGTGAAGAAATTTGTTTTGCCTGTTCACATTTCCAACAACCAGATGAACAAATAGAGCTTCAGGGACTTCTCTGCATTTGAGCTGACATTCTAGCTGATATGCACCGAGTCTTGCAGCCTCAATTATTACACCAGTTTATGTATTAGAATATTATTTCAGCCATATGAATATGATCTTCTGACTTGAATAAAAATTCTTTGCTTTGGAAGAAAAATTTTACCAAAATCTACATTTTTTTCAAGAGTGTTACTTAGCATCTGAAGTTCTACTGCAAACAAAACAAAGTATGAATTCCGTAGAATCATAGAATGGTTTGGGTTGGAAGAGACCTTAAAGACCTTCTGGATTCCACCCCCCTGCATGGGCAGGGATACCTGCCACTAGACCTGGTTGCTCAGAGCCCAGTCTAACCTGCCTTTGAATACTTCCTGCCACAACTTGCCTTGTAGTTTGGCTGGTGAAAGACTGAAGGAAGTGGTACAGAATATCATAGTATCAAAAAATACATTACATTGTAGGAAAGGAAAATATATCTTGTATTTCTCATGTAATCAGGATTCCTGCTTCCAGTTAAGTAGTCAGTGATGGCCATGGCTGATCGGAGAACATTCTCATAGACTCTTTCTTCATTCATACTCCCTGCACCTCTTTTGTTGCAGCTTGTATCGGTCTGAACAAAGCCATGACATTATGGTTTCTTAGCAGGCTTTTTCTAAACCTCTTTCATTAGGAAGGTAATAAGTTACTGGGGAAAAAAAAGTGCCATGCCAGAGGGTAATCAAAATATTCCATTGTTACTACAGAGCAAAGAAACATGTACAATAAAAAAGACACAACCCATGTTTGGATATTTTGGTTATATTGGTTCAGTGTTCCTGGAGCTTTGTGCATTTTTAAGTTGATGTTCCTAGTGATGATCCCATAAATGCAAAACTCCCTCCTTTGTTTGTAATGGCATATTTAAGGCTTTGTGATACTCTTTTGCTAGCTTACAAGTTCAGAGTTGTAGAAATTCTAATTCTACGAATAGGTGGAGGTTTTTATAGCTGTTTATGTTATTACTGACATTATATAACTAACATTTATTGCAGGATTTACAAACATACTGTGATTTTCCTGATATCATTGATGTCAGTATTAAACAAGCAAGCCAAGAAGGGTCCAGTGAGAGAAGAATTGTCACCATTCACAAGCAGGACAGCAAGAATCTGGTCTGTTTACATTGCTTGCTGTTTTTTGCAAATAGATACTGCTTTGAGCAGACTGTGTGATTGCTGTGTTTTTTCTAGTAATTGTATAACAGATTACCAGGTTAATTAAGCGTAAGGTATAAGTAGTGTATTAGAACACCAAAGGTCGTTTGCATTCAAAGCTCTGTGCATGGAATGAAACAGACATTTATAGCTGAGGGTAATTTCTCATACACAAATTGGTTCTTCATTGTAGTCTTAAGCCTGAGTTGGTGGCTTTGGCTGTTCCATGCTGTCATGGTAAAGTGTCTGCCAGTGAACAGCACACTGAAAAAGCTTTTCTACCCACCTCTCCCTTCTTGCTGGCCTCAGCTTCACTCCTGATTTCAGTGCCACCTCCCCCACAGCACACAAGGCGATGGGGAATGGAGGTTGTGGTCCGTCCATCACACGTTGCCTCTCCTGCTCCTTCCTCCTGCGGGGCAGGACTCCTCACACTCTTCTACTCCAGCATGGGGTCCCTCCCTTGAGAAACAGTCCTCAACAAAGTTCTGGAACATGGATCCTTGCCAGAGGCTGCAGCTCTTCATGAACTGCTCCAGCATGGATCCTTTCCACAGGGTGCAGTCCTTCAGGATCAGACTGCTCCAGCAATGGTTCCCCACAGGGTCACAAGTCTTGCCAGCAGATCTGCTCAGTGTGGGCTCCTGTCTCCATGGGTGCACAGGTCCTGCCAGGAGCCTGCTCCAGCTCAGGCTTCCCACAGGGTCACATGCACACATCCACCTGCTCCTGGCCGGGCTCTCCACAGCCTACAGGTGGGAATCTGCTCCACCATTGACATGGCCCGGATTTAATAACCCAGGAAAGTTAGAACTGGACCCCCTTGCTTTCTAAGCTCCTGCTGCAATAGAGGAGCCTGGCTGCGGCTCATCCAGTCCTGTACGTGTCACAACTCAGACTGGGCAGTCCAGGGAGATTAAGTGGGTTTGGCCTTGGCCAGTGACAGGTCCATCTTGGAGATGGCTGGAACTGGCTGTGTCAGACATATGGTAACCTGCTAGCAGCTTCTCTCAGAAGCCACCCCCGTAGCCTCCGATACCAAACCTTGCCACAGAAACCCAGTACTAGTTGTATCTTCCTTTATCTCTGTGACTGGTCTGTGGGGCTGTCAGGGCTTCCCATCTTGGCTGCTTGGTCCCAGGAGAGCTTCCTACTCTGTGCATGTGAAACAGCTCATGTGCTTCTGTAAAAATAATTTTTAAAAATTTAAAAAATATTTCAATATAGAGTATTAACTGGTTTTATTGACTCTCTCTAATGATGCTTTTTGAAAAAAAAGCATATGGTTTACTTCCATTTATAATAAAATTGTGACTCATGTTCATTTCCTGCATTAATGGCACAGAATTAATGGCCTGTTAAGAATCTGAAAATTTTAAAGGTTTTTATTGAAACATAAGGGTAGCTGGAATATCTGTGATCTGCATCTATGATGCTGAGAGCATAATAGTCTTTCGGATAGGTGGAGGAAGCTTCCTTAATATTAAGCCAGTAAAATTATCTTTAAAAGTTCTCCATAGTGTAGTTAGGTGCTTGACTGCGTATGCTTCTGAAGGCAAAAGTGAGTTTCTAGAACTTACCTAAAAGAGCTATTGAGGAGTAAGGCAGAGTAGGAATACATGCAGTAGCTGCTCTGCTGCTTACGATTTCTGTGTGGATGCTACACAGCAGAATTAGCTGATGGGTAAATTACAATTGGTTATTGAGTTTAAACTTTGGACAGCTAGTAGAATTCACTATGGAAATGTACTTTCCCAGTTGTAGGCTATATGACTTGATTAAAATGTCTGGATTTGTAGGTCTTGTTTTTTTGGTTTTTCTGATAATGTAGAAATGTGGAAAAATAGTTGTTTTCAAGTCCTCTTCTAATATGGAGTTTGTAGACTGCAAACAAATTATAGGCATGTGATCAAAAGTACCAGCTTTTAAAATTTATGTCTAGTACAGAACATGCCAAGGAATTGTGTTTGGTCACTAAAAGTGTCAGCAGAGTCATGGGCAGACTAGTGTAGCACGTACTAAAGCCTGTTTTGTTTGGCTACATTACTGAATGAAATTGAGTGACTCTAGATAGCAGAGTAGCACTTCTCTGTTGACGTAAAGACAGGCTTTAATACTTAATGCAAAATATTAAGAAAATATAGATAATTACACAAAAATACACTCTTATTTTCCATTATTGGCAGTAATAAATATGTTGCTACACAGTAATTTTGCAGTGCTTTTGTCCTTTTCAATATGTTCTGCATGGACTTCCACACCTTGATTTCATTCGACCGCATTATTTGTCTCTGTTTCCATCCATTGCACATCTCTTCAGCTTCTATCTATGATACATCTATCAGAATGCCAGTTTTTGATGACTACTAGCTAAATTTTCAGGCAGATTTTTCTTTGCTACTTGTCGGCAGCCCCATAAATCTTTGATAAACAAAGCCTTTCCCTTAGGCAAACAAATAACACTGTATTGCCAGTCCAGTAGGTGCTTGCCACGCTGAGTTGCGTCTACTCAGTTTTTCTCTTTCAAATGTTTCCTCTTATCAGCATTCTTCTCCTGTTCTTTATATTTAGAGTAAGAGGGTTTTTATGGCAGATTTGTCTGGTTTGGGTTTAATTTTGGATGCTGAATGTTGCTAACAAGTTACTATAAAGGTAGAACTGTACAAACAGTAGTTAAAAATAATTGGATTAACTTTAAGGTATGGATAGATTTGTATCTTTTATGCTATTACCATATCCATTACTTTTGTGTTGTCTATTAAAAATGTAAATGTGCTCTTTCTCTCTCTCCCCCCCCCTGCCCCCCCTTCCCTCCTCTTACTCTTCCCTGGCAATTTAACAGGAGGCTGAATTTCAGTCATTGAGAGAAGCTCTCTCCTTTGTATCACTAATTGATGGATATTACAGATTAACTGCAGATGCCCACCATTATCTCTGTAAAGAAGTGGCACCACCATCAGTTCTTGAAAATATCCAAAGCAACTGCCACGGACCAATTTTGTAAGTAATTTTTTTGCAATTTAACAGGATTACACTATTTTGAAAGATGAACTCAAGTTAGCTGTGAGCCGTGATGGACATCTTGAATTGTGTATTTATTACATTTATGTAACATAAAATGTAGTTTTCCTCTTTTTTTTTTTTTTTAACTTTGCAAAATACAGTACCTTCTTGACTTAATGTAAAAATCAAAATTGAAATATTAAATTTTTGCATAGAATTCTTTTTTTTTCTTAAAGTGAGACAGGCAACAAAGTCATGATGCTGATTTTACCAAATTGTAGCTACTACCGTGGAAGCTGCACACAGAGTCATAGATGGACAGTCTGATGCTTTTCACTGCTGCTTCTAGCAGCCACATTTTCTGAGCTGCCAAGGGGAAAAAGGCAAATTCAGACAACACTCTATTCAGTATTTCTGCAAGGGTTGCAGTAAACACTAGCCATATAAATTAGAGGTTTTGTTTGTTTTTAAGGAATATTGCTTTCTTTGTTGGTGGATTGTTGGTTTGGTCTTTTTTAGATGATGAATTTAGTATCTTAATGGATTTTTTTTTCAACTATTTTTAATACTTCTTATAGTATTGTATGTTGTTTGCAGAAGCACACATGAGCTTAGGAATGTTGTTAGCTGCAGAAATTTGTTTTAGCTACAGAAGCTTGAAAGCTGATATTTGCAAGATACACTGCATTAAACTAGTGCTGTCCACTCAGCTAATACAGAATAGTTCTGTAAATTTCCTCATAGCAGGAAGAGAAGTGCAGTGACCTTCAGAAGAGATGAAGGAGGAGAGCGATGGAGACCTACAGTTGTGATTTCATTTCCTGCACTAGTGACTAATGCTGTGTATTGGCCTTTATTTAGGGCTGTTAAAAAGATGTGCAATGAGTCTAGACCTTTCCAAGTCATTCAATGGCACAGCTTGTTTAAGGGGAAGTTGGTTCTAGTATCAACAAACAGTGTTTTATTTTGACTCCTTCTTGTTAGCCCTCTAACAAGTTAAACACCTTTTTCAACCACACAAATACTTTGCTAAATTTAGCTTGTTAGGCAGTTTTATTACAGCTCCTTCCATAATGAATGTTGGAAGTCATATCAGTATACTTTTTCGGGCTGTAAGGTTACTCATTAGATAAGTAATTGTTTTCAGTATTAGTGTATTATTACTATACTGCTCTCCACTTAAACAGCCACCCTTACTTAATATTGGGAAATAAAGGGAGAAAAAGATTAACTTAAAGAAAGCTGTAAGAAATCTAGAATTTGAACTGTTGTGGTACTAGATGTCTTGTAACTGTTCTCATTTGCCCGTTTCTTATGTTTCTGGATTTTCAAATGAAGCAATATTAAACATTTTCTTTTTACTATAGCATGGACTTTGCTATCAGTAAACTGAAGAAAGCAGGTAATCAGACTGGTTTCTACGTTCTTCGTTGCAGTCCTAAAGATTTTAAAAAATACTTCCTCACCTTTGCTATAGAGGTTTGTATTGTGTCTTACATAGTACCTGTTTATAGTACCTGTATAATCTATATTGTGTTATTATAATGAACCTGGGATGTTCAGTAAATTACTCTGAATTTTCTCTTCAGAATGTTTGTGTGATGTGTATATTCTATGGCTACTTCTGTCAGGTTGGCTTCTTGTAGGAAGCATCAGAATACTTGTATGGTTAATAATTGCTAGTGACACAGCAAATGCCTGGCAGAATGAGAGAAGAGAGCTTGGGAGTTCTGGAGGTGGGGATGGCTCTTGGTGCTGTAATAAATGTTTGGGTAATTAAACAGTTTGGTTTTTTTCTTTCTTTAAGGCCTGGGTTTTTTTAGTTGGATTTTTTTTTTCCTGGTATTTCCACATCGCTTCCAACCTCCCCTCAGAATAGGGCTTAGTTAAACTGAGTATATACAGCCCTTGCTGAGCTTAGAGTGTCTCTCCTTCACAGATACTTCTGGGTTTGAGTCTTGTCTCCATTCAGAGTGCAGGGCCAATCAAATTATTTGGCAGCTGCTACATCAAAACAGATTTGCTGAATATTTGGTGTTAGCTAGAGTGGAAGCCACCCTTGAAATTCTGTAGTTCTCATGCAGCTACAGAACCAGATGTACTTCTCCTCTGTGAGACTGCATTTAGTAATAATACAGTACTTTAATATTGCTGCTATGTAAGTGCATGATCTTGTTCCAGGGATGGGCTTCTCTTTAATTATATTAACAGAGATATCTTTGGTGTTTTAACTAGGGATAATAATACATGGGTTTTCCTGCTATTTTGCAGCAAGCTAGCAAGTCCTCTAAATGCTGTTAGAGGTGTGCTTTTCTCTGAAAATGACAATATAATGTTGATAGAGAATTAAGTGGCCATTTTAAGATGTTTCACAAAAAATTTATGTCCAGTCAGTAGCGTGCATTTGAAAGGGATTTCTTTTATACTGAGATCAGACCCCTCAAGCAAGCTTAGAGAGTCTAGCATGTAAGTTAAGGGTACCATAGAGTAACCTAGCCACACTTTATTTTTTTTTACTTGTTTTGGGTTTTCCTGGGCAAGCTGTTAGAAGGCTTTTGAGGTTCAGAATTCATTGGAACATATTCCACAGTGTTGACATGAAGGACTGTGAAAGCACTATTAATAGCTTCTCTTGTTTAAAAATGTTTAATGGAGTCTTTGATTGTAAAAATAATGCGGTTCATATTGAAAATCTGTGCTGGGAACTTAACTGCTTGGAACTGTACTTCGGCAAAGAAAAAAAGAAATACAGCTGAGATTCCAAATGCTTGCCAAAAGAACACGAGTCTGAATGTTTTGGTTATTGCTTCCAACAATTTTTGTTTATATTAGTTCATGTGAGGATGAGGAAACTTCCATGACTAGCTCTGAAGGATTTGTGTTAGGATGCATTGTCTGTTTTCTCAGCTTCATCTTTGCCCATTTCAAAACATTTGTTTTTCTTAGCATCAACCTGCTAATTCCCTTGTTGGGAGTAGAATCACGTTTTCTCAGAATCATTATTGCACAGTGAGAAAAAAAAACACATTATGATAGCATTTTGCTGAAGCATTCTTTCTTTAATTAGTTGAGTGCCAAACATTTAAATAGTCTTTATTTTTATTTTCAATGGAAAAATATCTGCAGAGGGAGAATGGAACTGATTATAAGCACTGCCTAATTACGAAGAATGAGAATGGAGAATATAATCTTAGTGGAACCAAGAGAAGTTTCAGTAATCTTAAGGATCTCTTGACCTGTTACCAGACAGAAACTGTCCGTTCAGACAGCATCATTTTCCAGTTCATCAAATGCTGTCCTCCAAAACCAAAAGGTAAGATTTATTTATTAGATTTATTTATTTAATTAATTAATTATTATTTAATTTATTAAGATTTATTTATTTTAGCTTATTTCTAAGCAGACAGGTTTCCAACTTAGACGTTGAAGACTTGAAAATAAGTTAATATTAAATGACTCTCAGGTAGATATGGTTCTGTGAGTTTTTTAAAATGTCACTGAGCTAATTGTTCATCTTCTTAATCATAGTTTTCAGTTCTGGTGTCTGCCAAATTTTACTTTGTTATACAATGGTCTCTTCCAGAAGGAATAATGGTAGTCAGTTTCATGATTAGAAGCAAAACTGATTTCTTAGTTGTAGTGATTGTATGCAGCTGCGTTTCTTCTTCAATCAAGTGTTTTCATGTCTTGTGACAGGAAGAGCTACTAAATGTATCTTTCATTTCTCACTGAGGGTATTTGCATAAGCAGTGGAACCAACAATGCCGGTTAAATTCTTTCATTGTTTGTTGACATCTCAGCTGAATTATGCCAAGGCAGCAGTGTGATTTAAACTTCTTTTTAGCAGCTAAATATGCACAGGGAACAGAGCTTCTGCCTGAGGAATAGATTTTTCTTGAATTTACATGAAAAGATTTTGTCTAGCTTTCAAATTCATAACAAGTTCCTCCTTTATGAATTATGATAACATCTGTCCTTTTTGATTATTATAAATAGTACTGCTTCTTATAGTTGATGTAAGTAATTGTCTCAAAGTCACTACTTAACCAAAAACTTGAGATAACAGAATATTTGATACCACTTTGATCTCTCTCAAATTTGATTCAAATTAGCCAATGGATTCAAAAGCTTAGAGAAGATTTGACAAGTAAATACCTGTTCACCTTACAGAGAATAATTTTGTAACCTTATTTTCATTGAAACAGAAAATGTATGTGCACCAGAATTATAAATTATTGAAAAAAATAAATCACACATCATGCACGCATATGCCTACAAATATGTACCTGTCAGCTTTAATTTTACTTAACAGACCTACTTTGCTTTATGGAGAGCTTTTTTTCAAAATCACTTGAATAATTACTGTGGTAAACAGAAGGCAAGGATCACTAAAGTGCTGCTGGAGCAAAAATACATAAAAGCTTTAAAGAGGCATCCAAAAGATATGTAGTTCTTTAACATAATAACTTCATAATATATGAGAAGGTGACTTGCACCCTCTTCTTCCATCCCTGATTTTTACCACAAATGAAATGTGAAAGGAGGCAGAAATATTTTCAGAATGTTTCTCAAAAGTAGGAGTATTTAAGAAACTTAGAATAGCTGAATGAACCAAAACATTTTTGCTCATTGGAAAAAAATCAGACTTTGAATTTGTTTAATGAAATATTGGGTGGCTTTTTTAATAACCTTATCTTGTGTAATAGCTTCCTTTTGTTAGATTAACAGCTTATCATTAGTAATCCCTCTGAGATAATATTGGCTTAGTTCTATATTTTACAAATTTACTTTATTTTTCTCTTCCTCATCTTATTTCTTCTCCCAGATAAATCAAATCTCCTAGTCTTCAGAAGCAATAGTGTTTCTGATGTACCTTCATCACCTACGCTACAGAGACACAATAATGTCAATCAGATGGTCTTTCATAAAATCCGGAATGAGGACTTGATATTTGTAAGTCAGTTAGTTGCTTCTTGCACTGCAGATGGTTGGTTTAATACTAAGTTTTAAAAAACTCAATATATGTTTAAAAGAGCCTTACCTGATCTAGGAGATTTTTCTGTAATCTTTATTTAGAGTTGGGAGAGAAAATTTTTTTTTTTTACGTTTACCTTTAATTCAAATAATTTTGGTTTTTATTTTGTTTTATTTAATAAGTGTCCTTTTGACTGCAATAGTGTTTCTTTTCTTTACTCCTAGGGATATCAAAATACATATTAATAACAGCAATTTATTCCTCTGCTTCTTGCAGTAAGTTATTTTCTGAGGTACTTGAGGAGTCAATAAAAAATAAGCAAAGATTGAAGCTGTTCCTAATACAACTGCAGTTTGACTCTAGAGATGTGCTAGCTGTAACGATTACCATATATGTTACTTAAGGTGGTTGTTAAAGAGATCTTTTGCAGAACAGGCAGAAATTTCTGATTTTTTTTTTCCCCATCTGTATCCTGCTTGTTTTTTAGGAGGAGAGTCTTGGACAGGGCACATTTACAAAGATTTTCAAAGGTGTAAGGAAAGAAGTGGGAGACTATGGCCAACTCCATCAAACTGAAGTTCTTTTGAAGGTGCTGGATAAAGTGCATAGAAACTACTCTGAGGTTGGTGTGATTGTTGACTGCTGTATAATGATTGTCCATGTTATGTTGAGCATTACTTTTCATATAGTAAGCAACTTCATTGGGGACACCTCCTACTAGATCAGGTTTCTCAAAGCCCCATCCAGCCTGGCCTCAAGCACTTCCAGGGATGAGGCAGCCACAGCTTCTTTAGGCAATCTGCTCCAGCATCTCGCCACCCTCACAGAAAAGAATTTCTTCCTAATGTCTAGCCTAACTCTCCCTTTATCCAGTTTAAAGCCAGTTACCTTTTGTCCTATCATTACCAGACCTCGTAAACAGTTCCTCCACAGCTTTCCTGTAGGCCCTTCAGGTACTGGAAAGCCACTATGAAGTCTCCCTGGAGCTGAATAACCCCAGCTTTCTCAGTGTGTCTTCACAGGAGAGGTTCACCAGCCCTCTGATAATTTGGTGGCCCTCCTCTGGGTTTGCTTCAGCACATCTACATCCTTCTTGTGGGGGGGGCTCTAGAACTGGACACAGTGCTCCAGGTGGGGTCTTATGAGAGCCAAGTAGAGGGGCAGGATCAGCTCCCTTGACTTGCTGGCCACACTTCTTTTGATGCAGTCCAGCACACAGTTGGCTTCCTGGGCTGCAAGCACACATGGCTGGCTCATGTGGAGCTTCCATCAACAAACACCCTCAAGTCCTTGTACTCAGGGTTACTCTCAATCCATGCTCCACTCAACCTCTGTTTGTGCTTGGGATTGCCCCGACCCATGTCCACGAAATAGCACTTGGCCTCACTGAACTTGATAGGGGGCCCACCTCTCCAGCCTGTCAGGGTATCTCTGCATGGCATCCCTTCCCTCCACAGTCTCAACCAAACCACACAGCCTGGTGTTATCAGCAGACTTGGGAGGGTGCACTTCATCCCACCATCTCTGTTGCAGACACAGGTGTTAAACAGCCCCAGCCCCAGTCCCAACACCTGAGGGACTCCACTGAATGCTGGTCTCCACTTGGACATTGAGCCCTTGACCACACCTCTTCTGAGTGTGACCATCCAGCCAATTCCTTATACACTGAGTGCTCCACCCATCATATGCATCTCTTTCCAACGTAGAGACCAGGATGTTGTGTGGGACAGGGTCAAATGCTTTGCACAAGTCCAGGTAGGTGACATCAGTTGCTCTCCTGATCCCTACCTGCTTGGACAACCTCTTTTTACTGCTCCCAGGCTGCCTGTCCTTGCTTCCACCCTTAATAGACTTGATTTTTACATCTAACTGTGTCCAGGAGCTCCTTCTTCATCCACGCAGGTCTCCTGGAATTCTCATTTGCCTTCCTCTTTAATGGGCTGCATTATTCCTGAGCTTGGAGGAGGGGATCCTTGAATATTGACCAGCTCTCCTGGGCTCCTCTCCCCTTCAGGGCCTTATCTCATGGTTCTCTATGAAGCAGATCTCTGAAGAGGCCGAAGTCTGCTCTCTTGATCTTCAGGGTAGTGGGCTTGCTTTGCATCTCCTTATTGCTTCAAGGATCCTGAACTTCATAATTTCCTGGTTACTGCAGCCAAGGCTGCCCTTGAGCTTCATGTTACTCACCAGCCCCTTTTTTTTGGTGCAAACAAGATCCAGCATAGCTCCTTTTGTCATCGGTTCCTCTACCACTTGGAAAAGGGAATTGTCAATATATTCCAGGAACTTCCTGGGTTGTTTATGCCCTGCTGTGTTGTCCTTCCAACAGATGTTGAGGTGGTTGAAGTCCCCCATGAGGGCCAGGGCTTATGAATGTGAGGCTACTCCTATCTGTCTTATGAAGGGCCTCATCTGCTCTGTCTTCCTGGTCAAGTGGCCTGTATCAGACCCCCAGTGTGATATCACCTACCTCTGAATTTTCTTTGACCCTGACCCATAAGCTCTTGATCAGCTCCTTACCTATCCTCAGGCAGTGCTTCATGCACCCCAGTTGTTGATTGATGAAGAGGGCAATACACCCTCCTGTTCTCCCCTGCCTGTCCTTCTGAAGAGCTTGTACCCACCAATGCCCACACTCCGGACCTAGGAGCCATCCCACCACATGTCAGTAACACCAGTAACATCATAGACCTGGAGGCATGTGCGTGTGTCTGTCTTCTCTTGTTTGTTCCTTGTTCTATGTACATTTGCATAGAGACATCTGAGTTACTCCTCCATTGAAGCTGTCTTACTGGCTTGGGATTGCAGTCTCCTGCATTTCAGGTGTTCTGCTGTCCTGTGATACCTTTCCTGGCCCAGGGCATCTATTACAGGCACTAGCTTCAAAGTGGTGGCCATGAGGATAGGTTGAGAGTCCCTTCCTCTGGCAATGCTAGTTTAAAGCCATCTTTACTAGATTTGCAAGCTTATGGATAAAAATGCTCTCCCCTTATCTGAGAAATGGACCCCATCAGCCCCCTGGAGACAAAGTTTGTCAAAGTGAGTCCCATGGTCTAAGTAGCTAAAGCCTTGGCTGTGACACCGTTTTGACCTGATTTTTTTGGCTGAATAATCAGCACACAAGTGTAGTTGGAGATGCCACTGAAGAGAATAAAATACTACTAAAGAAACAGAAGCATCTGAAAGCTTACTGACAAAGTTAGGTAAGGTCTCACAGTAGTGGATGAGTAATATAATACTCCTTGTCTTTATTAATCTGCTATGAAGTAATAAATTGGAAACCAAGTATGCATTATGAAAGAATTACTTGGAAACTGAATAGTGTGTCATGAATTTGTGGCTTACTTTATTTAGTAAACTGATGTTGAAGAAAAGATTCTTTTTAAAATGTGGATGTACATCTGCCTGCAGAAAAAGAGATTGCAAACCTCTGGAATGTGCAATATCAGTTATTTTTTTAAAAACCCTACAGCCTAAAATAACCACAAACAATATAAAATATGTTACATAGGGTCTTTGCAATGAGTTGGAATCTGAAATGTTGTTTTAAATGCACATTATTTTAATAAATTTATTAGAAATCATGTAATGTTTTGAGGTTTTGTTGATACTGATATTATTCTCTCTCTTGCTCTCTCCATCCTCAAAGTCCTTCTTTGAGGCAGCAAGTATGATGAGCCAGCTTTCTTACAAACATTTGGTGTTAAATTATGGAGTCTGTGTATGTGGAGAGGAAAGTAAGTAGAAATTAATTATCTTTTTGTAGTAATTTTGTACAGCTGCCATTAGAATTTATCACTGGTTGTCAGTAAAAGTAGGGGGAAAAATGCAAACCAAACCAACCTATCACACCAGCTGGACAGCCAATACATGTTCACCTTGCAGTAGTATTAGTTTTGGTGTTTGAAATCTAGTTAATACTGTGGCAACAAAGAAAATGAAAAAATCATGTATATACAGCCAGTGTGAACAGTAACCTCTAAATTGCTCAGTCATGTCTGAAAAGAAATTCAGCATTTGAGAAGTTAAATGAACTTCCACACTTTGAAGAAGTATAAATAGCATAAAGTATTTGTGACAATGCTTTAAATTTATAGGTAGTTCACCAACAAGGTATTAAAGAAAGAAAGAAGCATAGTACTACAGTAACAAATCTGTCCTGAAATTACATTATTTACTGTTGGTTTAAATTGTTACTCTTTTTACCATTTTAAATCAGATATCCTTGTACAAGAATATGTAAAATTTGGATCCTTGGACACATACCTGAAAAAGAACAAAAATGTTATCAATATCTTGTGGAAACTGGAAGTAGCCAAACAGTTGGCATTAGCCATGCATTTCCTGGTAAGTAGTTTGCTCTTCAGTTTTGTTAACAGCTGAATTAAAGTATTTCAGCTAATACATGTAGAATACCTGAGCTGTTGTTTCCTCACTACTTAAAACTCAGGACGGTATTTGAAAATATGGTTGGCATATACCAGACAGTGGACAGCCAAGGACAGACCTTTGTATTTTGCACAAAGTGTTATTGAATTTCGCATTTTTTTTTCATGCTTTGTGTTTTAGTGTGAAATAAAACCTCATTTCCAGAAAAAAAACAACATTGTGCTCTTCAAACTGCTAGTGTCTTCTTTTTGTGCATTAGGTCACAACCTTACACTCTTTACTTCAACATGAAGCCCATTGTTCAAGAAAGTATATATGATTAGATTCATTAGATGTATCTTCCCCTTAAGAGAGTTTAAATGTTCTTGAATTCATTTAACATGTCATACTGATGGTTCAGTATTCTTCCACGTTAATGTACATCAAATAGTTTTAAACTTGAAACTTTAGGTAGCTAATGAAAATTAGCTGGAAACTGTCACTCTGAGGGAAACTGATGCAATGTCTAAGATGTGAGCAATTTAACCTATGATCGTTATTTTCTTAGTTGATGTTTTCCTCATGCTGTAAAGAAATGGACTTTAAGTACCTCTTCAACTGTAAGATTTTTTGTCAGTGTATCAAAGATGTATTTCTGTTCACAGGAGGATAAAGGCCTTGTTCATGGGAATGTCTGCGCAAAAAACATTTTGCTTATCAGAGAGGAAGACAGGAAGTCTGGAAACCTTCCATTTATAAAACTAAGTGATCCTGGCATCAGTATTACAGTTTTACCAAGAGATAGTAAGTCTTTATGTGAGCTTTCTTGCTTAATGCTTCTGACCTGAAAAATAAGTTGGGGTTGTTTTTTTTTCCTGACTGCCACCTAAGGTACTTCTGTTATACGGAGTTCCGTCATCTATCACTTCAAAATAATCTTTGCAGACCTCGTCAGCAGTTTTGAATTTCTTTATCAGGAAATATCTTCTTTATCAGCTACAGGAAGTACAGCCCCAGTTCTCCATTTTGTGAAGTTTTTTGCCCTGCTCTTCTCATTTTCAGCTTTGAGGTTGTTTTTTTCACTGGTAGCACTTTTAGGATGCTGTAATGTACTGTGAGTAAGTAAGTTGCATTGGCAAGTAGCTGCTGGACTTTGTATCCTATTAGTGACGAAGATTAAATTGGTTTTTATAGCTTGGAGAAGCTTTCAGAATTGAAAGTGAATGCTCTTTTAAAAATGCTACCTGGTAGTTGAAAATCATCTTCAGTGCATTTCTTGGTAAATTCCTGAAGCCACTTGATGATGCTAAAAATACTGGATTATCATCTCCAATTGAGGCTTTTCTAATGCCTTGTAGACAGCACAATTAATTACATGAAAATAAACTAAAAGTACATGCAAGATTGTTATGCTAGTGAAGCTGAACTAACCTCACTATTCTTTATCTAGTCTTTTTATAATTTTGGAAAAATGGACACACTTTAAACTCAGTAGTTTTATAAATATCAAAAGAAGTAATGCTTCTAAGAGACTATAAGAAATACAGTGTCATTATTTTCCGATGACCTATTTAAACTCTCCCTTTCTAAATGAGAAGCCTACATGAATCTTATGAGATCTCATTTTAAGGAGCTTTAAATCTACATTAGTCAAATGTAATCTTTTAAGTTGTTACTACAATCAATATGAAAAGATTAAAAATTGAGTAGTATGAAAATCCTTGTTGTGGCATCTTTTACTGTTCTTTAACGTGCCAACCACTTGCAAACTACTTTTTACTCTTTGCCATCTTGTTCCTTTTTGGTAGCTGCTGAGTCTTTGTAACATTGGGGGAAGTACAGAAGTCAGAGTAAAAATATAATGTTGAAAGGATGTTAAGGCAATTTTATAACATTAGGCTCATTTTACAATAACACTAATGGTCCTCCACTCTGATTCATAAATATTAGTGTTTTTACATATTCTGTAGCTTTTTTTTTTAGGCAGGAACATAAACTTGGAAAGGTACTAAAAGGACATTACTGAATGAAACAACTGCTTATCGGAAAGTTATTTTTAGTAAATCAAGTATTTTATAGAATCATCTGGTTTTATATTAATCTTAACCTGATGTTTCCTTTGCATGATTGCACAGTTCTTCTTGAGAGAATACCATGGGTTCCACCTGAATGTATTGAAAATCCCAAACAATTAAGCCTGGCCACAGACAAATGGAGTTTTGGTACTACTTTGTGGGAAATCTGTAGTGGAGGAGACAAACCTCTGAGTGCACTGGATTCTTCAAGAGTAAGTATTATTGAGTCTGCTATCATAACAATTCTTTGGACATGTCTAATTTGAAATACCTGCTGTTGTAACCCTATCAGGTTGTAAATCAGTGTGGCCCATGGCCACTGTAGAGAAAGGACACTTTAACTGGTAGAGAATGATCAGAAGTGAAGATTTGAGGTTTGTTTTTATGTTGTTTGTTTTGATTTTTACGGAGACAAAGTGCAGCATTGTCTTATCTTGTTCTTGTTTCTCTTGCTTTGTTCCAACAATGTAGACTTTTGTAAAAAAAGTATTCCTAAAAATGTACATGGTTTTTAATTGTCATTAATCTGGTAACTGAACACCTTACATACGTTAAGACTTTGTGTATTGCAGAAAGTTCTATTATTTTGGTTAAACCAAAAATACTGACTTTGTCTCAACTAGGGGCAGGGGGGTGGAGGGGAAGCACATTCCATAGAACTATTATTTCTTATGTATTTGTCTTCTTAGTTGGAAGCAAAAAAATGATTTCCCTTAGTACTACAAATATATTTGTATTATTGTTTGTGTAAGTGGACTCTTGCCTTCCCACAAAGCCCAATCTAAATTCTCAGATGTTGTAATCAGCTCTAAATATCAGCCCCAAGGTCTACCTACCCCTAGGTTATAGATACCTATGTATTTCAAAAATTACCTTTGTCTTCATACTAATTCATGTTTTTTCATCATAATAAATCTTTACACAACTGAAGTTGCTCACAGGTGGACAGAATTTTCTGATGGACTAATCCAGTTGAGGTTTTGTAAACTTACCAACAAAGAAGACACCTTCTTTCCCATTATCTTTCTCTGTTTTCTTATGTTCCGCAGTAACTGATAGAACATTTCTGAACTGATTACTCTAGATTATGCTAGCCTTGCTGGATTGTCAGCCTTGCCTTTTGGCATAAATTGGTCAGGTGTACATTCAGTGGGATAACAAGTGTAGATTGAGAGCTGTATATTTTAGCTGCTCTGGTGAGAATCTTAAGGCTTCTGCAACTCCTCCTGGTTATATATTAAAATGGCTTTTATCTGTTTCATTCCAGAAACTACAGTTTTATGAAGACAGGCACCAGCTTCCTGCCCCCAACTGGACAGAACTAGCAAACCTTATAAACAACTGTATGGATTATGAGCCAGACTTCAGGCCCTCATTTAGAGCGATTATACGTGACTTGAATAGTCTTTTCACTCCAGGTGAGCTTCTGATACAACATGAACACACTACACAAAAAGAACCCTAATTCCTCTTGGGTCACATTCGTATGGTGCCTTCCTTTATGGTGTGTTGACTCAAAACCACTTTCCGAAGCTGACCCAGAAACCTAAGTTCCTAAGGGTTACTGCTTTTCAGTTAGTTCTAAAAGAGGATACATTAAAAGTTAGCAATATTGTTCAGAGCAATTGTCTGGTTTGATTAATGTCCCAAAACTCTTAACACAGTAAGTTCTTTTTACTCTCAATAAAATAGATACCTATCTTTTTTTTCCAAGTGGAAGATACTGGCTTTTAAACAAGTCCTTGTGAAGTTTACATTTCTCCCCTCTGTAGTAGTGGAATTGTTGCACAATAGTTACTGAATTTGGTGTACAATAGGACTGCAAAAAGGAAATTGGGAAGTTAAAGCAAGACTCACGCTGAGTCAAGACACTTAGCTTTTTTTTTGTGATACATCCTTGCCTTTGACTGCAGATTACCATATAGAAATTAAGATGGTTATTAATATTCTACTTAGCTTGGTGTATGCCAAGCAAAGGTAGAATATGCCACGATTGTAACAAGTTTCTTCATTCTCCTATTGCCTGCTCTGTGCCTCCTTTTCCCTTTCTCTCTTTCCTTCTTCCTCCTGCCTTTCAGATTATGAACTACTGACAGAAAGTGATATGTTGCCAAATATGAGAATTGGGGCACTTGGATTTTCTGGTGCATTTGAAGATCGGGACCCAACACAATTTGAAGAAAGGCATCTGAAGTTTTTACAGCAACTTGGCAAGGTAGGATGTTTTGGAATTCTATGATTGCCTACAAAAGAACAGTCTTTTTAACTTCTCTTTCAATGACCCCATACACACACATTGAAACTTCTGTTATGGAAATTAATAGTTTCAGTTGTATGTGACCACAATATGCAGTACCTTCTAGATCTTTTATTAGTTTCACAGTATCATGTGAAGAAAGCTAGCTGTCCTCTTTAATTAATCGAATCACACCAAAAGGCTAAAACCTTCTTCAGTGATGCAGAACTGCATGTGACATAGGTTTGGGGTTGTTTTTATACTTGGTGTTCGTTTTAAAATGCTCCAGAACAGTGTCACATAGAACTAGTGAGGTTGGGTTTTTGTGTGCATACATACTCTTGAGAATTCTGAATATGCACTCCATGCTGTTTCATGATTGCTGGATGTTCCTTTGACTCCAAGTACTAGTGAAAGCAAACCTGAAAGCCAAGTAGCAAAATTATTGCTGGCAGATAGTAGTTTGTAGACCATAAATGGTAGCATAGCATAGGAAGAGGAACAGAGTGGTGGGTGATGACTGCATAAAAGAAGATAAGGAAAATGCAAACAGAGAAAGAGAAGAAGGCCGAACATCGAAACAAAGCAGGGAAGAACCACAATTAAGAACCAAGAGGAACCTGAATGTAGAAGTTTTTACAAGTGCAAGAAAAGGAGTATCCCAGCTGACAGTTTGGAAGTGCAAGAGGACATTTGTGAAGGGGAACAAAATGAGTGGACATTATCCTCTCTCCTTGTCCTCTTTTACTCTCGTCCAATTTGCTTCCTTCTAGAGCTGTTGTTACCTGTGATCTTGCTCTCCTTTTCAGTCAGGGAGTTTTTGTGGCATTCATGTATTTGTGGTCACCGTAATGCTAATACAGTGAGTACTAAAGCAACATGAACAAGCACTGAGGCAATAATGTGTATGTTTTTTTAATTTGAGTATTTCCATTTGTGATCTAGGGAAATTTTGGCAGTGTTGAAATGTGCCGGTATGACCCCCTGCAAGATAATACTGGGGAGGTGGTGGCTGTGAAAAAGCTGCAACATAGCACAGAAGAGCACCTTAGGGACTTTGAAAGAGAAATTGAAATACTTAAATCTCTGCAGCACGATAACATTGTTAAATACAAAGGAGTGTGCTACAGCGCAGGTATGTGCTATATTGATTGCACCTTCTGGTGTTTATTTAAGTGTACATTCTGAGAAAATCAGAGAGGTAAGCGTTTGTGGAAATCACTGAGTCGTCCTAACTTGACCAGAACTTAAGAGTGTACAAACCAAAGGAAACAGTATCTCTCATAAACTGCTACTCAGTACAATGTGGATATTTTATTCAGTCAGCTCATTGTATAATTTGAATTATTTAGAGAAAGTACCATTTTGACTAGTTAGCAAGTTTATTGAGCTTAAAGAATGAAAGTCTTCCTAGAAAAGAATATAAGGTTAAGTAGGAAAATGCAGCCATTTTGTAACTGTTATTTTCTCTTGCTCAATGTAATGCCCCAGAGTGGATATTACCAATTCTTGTATAGCCTATTCAGTAAAAGGTTACACAGGAAGAAATTTCAAATATTGATGTATTTGAGTGGATTGTTGGTGCTATTACAGCAAATTAATGAAATCATCAGTTCTGCCCAGGATCTTGGTGTAAAAAGAATGTTGGGTTCAACATCAGTTTTTAAAGAGGGTAAAATTGCTGACCAATAAATGTCACTTGCCGTTCTGAGTTTCATCGCAGCCATGAGGAGGAATTACAGAAGCCATATATACATATGTGGCACTTTTGCTTTGCTTTAACAAGGGCATCTAAAGTACCAATGAGCTGATCTTTAGTCATACTCTGCATATCAAGCATATCCACATTACTGTTTTGTGTAAATAAATGGTGTTTCCTGGACAAATGCAGTTAACTGGTATATGAAAAATTGCATTAGTGATGTTCATACAATAAATGGGGTTTTTTGTATTAGGGCTATTTTCTGTTTGTTTATTCACAGACATTTGTAGAATTTGTATTTGAAAAACTTATAATTGGAAAATTACTAGAAAAAATCAGTGCTTTTTTTGTTGTAAAAGGTCGTAGGAATCTAAGATTGATTATGGAATATTTGCCATATGGAAGTTTACGAGATTATCTGCAGAAACACAAGGAGAGGCTGGACCACAAGAAGCTTTTGCTGTATGCATCTCAGATCTGTAAGGTAAGGAAATTTCAGATGATTAATAGTTTTCAACAGTTTTTTGTCTCTGATCTCATTTATCTCAACAGCCATCATACGTTGTCTTGGTGTATATTTTACAATGCTTTTGGGTTGCTACTACCACATCAATCTAAAAACAGTATCAGTACATATTCATTTACTCAAGAACTGGACAAACTTCTGAGTATCTTAATAGAGGATGCTGAGACTAGCTGATCTGCTAACTGAGGTAGAAAATGCTCCAGTTATTTTTGTTTATTTGTGTAGCTTATATTTCAATCAGAAAAATTAAAAGCCCTTTTCTCCTTTCTGAAGTAAAATACACAGGCAAACTGTTAATAACGAACTATAACTAATTTTTCAGAACTTGATCATTCAACTCTAAAACCATTGTAACAGCATGTACATTTTAAAGATATTTACTTTAAAATAGGAACAGTATTAGCTTGTTTAACAGAACGAGCAAAGGTACCTGACTTGAAGAAAGCAGACTTCAGCTGCTTCAGAGATCTGCTTGGTGGAATACCATGGGATAAGGCCCTGGAGGGAAGAGGAGCCCAGGAGAGCTGGTCAATATTCAAGGATCCCCTCCTCCAAGCCCAGGAATAATGCAGCCCATTAAAGAGGAAGGCAAATGAGAATTCCAGGAGACCTGCGTGGATGAAGAAGGAGCTCCTGGACACAGTTAGATGTAAAAATCAAGTCTATTAAGGGTGGAAGCAAGGACAGGCAGCCTGGGAGCAGTAAAAAGAGGTTGTCCAAGCAGGTAGGGATCAGGAGAGCAACTGATGTCACCTACCTGGACTTGTGCAAAGCATTTGACCCTGTCCCACACAACATCCTGGTCTCTACGTTGGAAAGAGATGCATATGATGGGTGGAGCACTCAGTGTATAAGGAATTGGCTGGATGGTCACACTCAGAAGAGGGGTGGTCAAGGGCTCAATGTCCAAGTGGAGACCAGCATTCAGTGGAGTCCCTCAGGTGTTGGGACTGGGGCTGGGGCTGTTTAACACCTGTGTCTGCAACAGAGATGGTGGGATGAAGTGCACCCTCCCAAGTCTGCTGATAACACCAGGCTGTGTGGTTTGGTTGAGACTGTGGAGGGAAGGGATGCCATGCAGAGATAGGACAGGCTGGAGAGGTGGGCCCCCTATCAAGTTCAGCAAGGCCGAGTGCAATGTAGTGGACACGTGTCAGGGCAATCCCAAGCAGAAATCCAGCCTGGGCAGAGAATGGATTGAGAGCAGCCCTCCTGTGAAAATAATGGCAAGGAAGGTGATTCTCCCCCTCCACTCTTGTGACACCACACCTGGAGTCCTGCATACAGCTTTGGAGCCTTCAGCACTGGAAAGATATGGACCTGTTGGAGAGGGTCCACAGAAGGGCCACAAAGATGTTCTAAGCACTGAAGTACCTTCTGCTATGAAGACAGGCTGAGAGAGGGGGTTGCTGAGCCTGGAGAAGAGAAGGCTTCTGATAGCAGCCTTGCAGTACCTAAAGGGGGCCTATAGGAAAGCTGGGGAGGAACTTTTTACAAAGGCTTGTAGTGATAGGATGATGGGGAATGGTTTCAAACAGAAAGAGGGTAGATTTAAGTTAAATACTAGAAAGAAATTCTTTATTGTGACAGTGGAACAGGTTGCCCAGGAAAGTTGTGGCTACCCCATCCCTGCAAGTTTTCAGGGCCAGGTGGAATGGGCCTTTGAGCAACCTGGTCTAGTGGGACAGGGGCTTGGAACTAAATGCTTTTTTGAGGTCTCTTCCAACCCAAATGGCTCTATGATTGTGATTTCAATATGACAGCATAAACAGTGTACAAGAGCCCCAGGCTGTAACAAAGTATTTGCTAGTCTCAGTGGTTGGTACTGAACATCCTTCATAAAGTGCTGAAAAAGAGGTAATTACATCATCTTAACTGTGACATCACATTTTTTTAGAAAGAGGAATTATACCTATCTTCATCCTGTTATTATGCTTTTGTTACCAGACAGTTTGGATTTTGTTGTGTGTTTGATAGTCTGGGGAAAGAAAAAAATAAAATTGGTGTGGGGTGAGGAGAGAGAAGAGAAAAAATAAGACACACAACCTTACACCTTCAAGGCATTGTAGCATTGTTATGTTTTTATCCCCAATACCTATATCAAAGACATAGAAAGTATATTACTTAAAATTAATGAGTATTCTTCAGGGTAGCCCATACATATTATTATGTCTGGTAGGGGTGTCCCGCCACATTTAAAGCAAAAGACTTTCCTTCTGCAATGTCTGCAGGAAATGACTGACACAAATGAAGCAGGAGAGTCTGTGCAAGAGCTGAGATCTTCCCTAGGTGTTCAAACTTTCAGCTGGTGAACAGAGCTTGATATTTCCTTGCTTGAAATTGGACTGACTCAGTAAACCTTTTAGATACTGAAGCTGAGCCATGAACACAAGAATGCTTCATTAATCTTTAGCAGCTGAAACTTATTTATTTGTGTGCTTCACTTAAGCAAGGCTCTGTGGGTGTTTTCCAGTAAAACCTCCTTGATGGGCAAACAATGAGGTTGGAAAACAGAAAATGTTCACAAGCCTGTGGGAAGTGTCAGTCTTTTCACAGAGAGAAAGGATTGAACATGTGACCACATACTTGAAGAAGGTTAAAAAGCCCTCTGATCTTTTTTCCAAACTGAGAATTCATTCTCCAGTATCAGGCATAAGGAATCATCTCTATTTTTTCTGCAACAGAATATCTGTTACTATTGCTGCTAAGTCAGCAGTCTTCCTTCAAGCAAAGATCTGGAAGTGTCTAATGCTCAGCACCACCTAGGAGGATGATGGTCATAGTGAATCTTTCATAGAGGAAAGATGCAACAGGGATTTTTGAATGTGCGAAGGTTGTAGCCACTGACCTGTTTTTATTCTGTGGCCATCTCAGCCTACTACCTGAATGGTCATAAGGGTGCCTGCCCTTTTCACTGTCATAAGAAGCTGTGAGGCTTGCATATCTGAGTCTTGAGGCCTTATCCAAAGCCTGAAAGAACAATAGTGGCAACATATCTCAGGATCCTGGTTTCTGAGAAAGAGGTATCTGATAGGGGAGGAGTGAAACATGGGTTTTGGCAGTGGAAGTAAGGCAGGTAAGTTTGGGAAGGGAATTGTATTCAGAAGGCACAAAGAAAAAGGTTTTTTTTGTGTGTACATACACATATATAAATGAAACACTGAGGTATTATAGTCTTCAGGATGGTGATGAAAAATCAAAATAGGGATTCAGTTACTGCTTCCTAAGTACCAAACACCAGGCAAGAGGAAGGACCTAGGATATGCCTTCTGCAGATACGTAAGTGGGAAAACATCGTGCTTTCCTGTGACAAAACATGGGCACACACAGTATCAGAACATAGAAAGACCGCACATAGGAATTGTTCTTAAAGAAGTATATTTTCTTCACTTTTAAGGGAAGCAAAGTCTAGCAATTAGAGTGTATAGATCTTGCTTTTCACTGCTGTTGCTATGCAACCTGCAAAGCAGAAGTTATATTGATCACTTAAAGATTTCACTCTAATCTGCAGCATTACTTGAAAACAATTAAAAACCTAGTGAGTACCTAATGTTACAAAAATGGAATCTGAATGCTTTTCCTTCTTTTAGCTGATCACAATTTCCGCTTTTCTTTAGCTGTTGCTGCTTCTAATGCAATGTTTGCTCTTTCAGCATCTCACATCTCACTGCAGTGTGTTTCTGTCACTCTGTTATTTTTGGGTTTTTAATTGAAAAAATCTTTCTCCCTGTGCTTTACTGCTCTTCTCTCAAATGTGTGAGAGAGAAATGAAGGCACACCCATGACTGAGGGTTAACATGAGTGCATTTGCTTGTTTGCTGTGTTTTGGTTCCTTGCTACTGTACTGGGAAAGGTTTCCTGACCTCAAGGATATTTTTCTGTTCATACCTCATACTGTGAAAAGCAGCATTTTCAGAGGTGACATTTGGAAATAGCGATGTTTCTGGACATGCACATTAGTGAAGCTGTTACCTGGTGCAATTTGTGCTGTTAGTACAGCTTATCAGGTAGCAAGCAATAGGACTCTCTGTTCAGCTTTAAAGAATCCTGACAGTAGAATGGCAAACAAGGAAGTTCGTATCTAATTTTTGGGATGGGCTTGTTTGCTCTTTTGGCCCTACCTTATGTTGGTGCTGGCTGATTGGAGAAGAAGTTAATTTGTTTTTCATTTCTGAATGTTTACACTGCTTCATAAGTCCTTGCTGGAGAGCATAACTTTAATCATAGAAATATTTGAAGTCACATAATTAAACTCAGCTCTGTCATTAGAGCAGTGCCACAGAATTATGATTGCTACTTAGAATTTGTATGATTTCAGATTACCAGTCACAGCTTACAAAATACCTCTTCTAATAGAAAAATTACTATCCGTGGAGAAACTGGAGGACTGTTTTCAGTATGGTTTGTAGTAGTAATAAAAAGTCATAGCATTTCTATAGAAACACAGGAATCTCACTATGAAAAAGGTAGGTTTGGTGTTTTTCAGGGTAGCAGTGGATGAGCGGGTAGTGAAGTTGGGGCGTTTTTGAGCCGTTTTGGAATCGTGTGAACAGCGGTGCCACCTGGCGGTGCTAGCAGATAACAGGGTCTGAGAGGAGGGGCAGACGAGTCGAACTGTTTCTGAGGTTTATCCCTTTAAAAAATTAAAAAAAAAATAATATTTTTGCGTTAAGAGTGTAAGGTTGATTTTTAAAACTTGAGTTCAACAATGCTCTTAACATAATTTCTTTTCGGTTGTGTTGAAGGAGTGAGATGCTTCCTTATGAAACACTGAAACTGACAGCTTGCTTTGTGTTTCCTCTCATGTATGAGTTGAGTATCTCTTGACATTGCAGTGTCAACTTCTGTCCACCATTTTTTGCTGTGTAAGGAACACCACCTTTTTTAATAATGTCACTACGTGTTCTGGCTTCTTCCACATTTCATTGTTTGCAAAAAGAGTTGCATGCAGTGGTAAAAAGTGATCAGCAGCAGCAAGAGACAAGATGGCTTTAGACCAACATTTTGTTACAGCAACCCATGAAAGTATAACTAGGTTGGTGAATAATGGTCCACACAGCAAAGAAACAAGACACACAGGTGGAAATACATTCAGAAAATAGCTGTCAAATTCAGTGAATCAAAATATAAATTTTAATAAGTAATCAGGAAAGCAGATGTACCAAAAAAGATTAACTGAAATAGGTAAATAGGAACATCTTCTCATTTGCCCTGTATTGTGTAGCTTTGTCCAAATTTTGTTTTCCTTCTGTCTATCACCAGCAAAGTCTCTTTGGCCACAGAAAGAAGCTGTACTGTCTATCCAGCTACATAATAAAAAATCCTTGGCTCTCAGAGTTGCTCCCTTGGAAAAACTTTTTCCCTTGGAAAAAGTGACTCATCAGAGAAAATGAATGCTCAAGCACACCAGTTTTGGTTACAATCTGTTTGGTTTTAACTTTGAGATTAATTCATCCCTGTAG